TTAAGTAAGGGCAAAGATCAAGTGTTAGTGAATTCGTTTAGGGAAAACCCCAATAGACGACACATAACACATATAAAATTTGATACTCGCCAAATCGTATCCACGCCTCTATTAAAGCCTATCCCCGACGTTACGCGAGATTTCTGGTCTTTTAGCGACAGACTCGCCGTTTTCGCCCTTAACATTATATATATATCCATTCAGATTACGTACAAAATTAACCGTCATAATTACTTACATAATTATTACATTTTTTATACATAATAAACAAAATCATACGTCATCGCAAATTAACCACGATCACGTTTTAAATATGTGAAATATTTATTAAAACATAGAAAAACTACTAAATATTAAACATTAATATGAATAAAATATTTCTTTAATTTTTTAATTATTAACAATGAATAACTTAACAATATATAACTAATCCTATTATTTAATTTAATAATTAATACAAAACAACCCCTTTAAAATAAATATAATTTATAAAAATACACAACAATTAATTTTTAACAAATAAATATATATTTTAATTTAATAATATGCGAATTACAACTACATACAAATTAATACCAAAACTAATTGCTTAAACGAACTAGCATTAATAACTACAATTTTTATTAATAACTACTTGCTCGAACCTTTATAATTATTTACTATAAACAAAAAACATTATTGCAAATTTACCTATAATCATATTTAAAACACACGAACTAAACCTCAATTATAAAGAAAACTATTTTAAAGCAAACATTGAAAATAATAACCCTTCCAATTTTATTTAATAAACTTTGTTATTGTTATTGTAAACCGATTCTTTAAATAATTTCACTCCAACAACTGCAAACACAACACACAAAAAACTATAAGAAGATAAAAAAAAAAAAAAAAAAAGTTCAAATACAAAGCTAAAAAACATAAAATATAAAACTGTTAATATGAAACACTAAAAAACACACATTTCTCACTAAAAAAAAAAAAAAAACTAAATAACAATAACAACCAAAACATAAATAAAACCAACTACTCTTCAATCATGTGACCTTAAACTACTGCATAAAGATCTGTTTACACTTCCTTTACCCTTTTCACAAGAACTATTTTTTTGATGTTTATTACTTTTAACAGAATCTGAAACCTTTTCCTCTTGACAAGAATTAACAAAATCATCTTTGAGATTTTCAGCACGTTGATGTTTTGGAGAACAACTGCTAAACAAATTCGATTCATTTTTGCAACTGTAACCATCAGATACTGTAGATTTTCATTT